ACTCTAACTCTCATAGCTTACTCTAAACACTTTTGGTTGTTTCCTTTGAAGCTGGCACCCTGATGTTTCTTTGATTCATCACTTATTTCAAATCCCCTAAATGTTGCTGAAGTGGCTAATGGCCTTTTGTTATTCCTCACCAGCTGTCAAGAAGAAGCAAAATTATACTAGTGTACATGAGGCAGTGAAAGCCGGTGATGTAGAACAGCTTGCGTCAATGATAAAAAGTGGAGCCAATATTAACGAGGTGGATTTAGTCCACAAATTCACACCTTTGCACTGTGCTGCACACTCTGGAAGTCTGGAGGTAAAATATTTTGTTAGCGTTCAAACACAGCAAGGTTTTTGTAAGTTAATGTTTTCCTTCTTATTTTAGTGAGGGAGATGGGACACAAAATTTTTAGCTCTGACCAAGCTAAATTAATAATCTCTGCCTGTCTTTCTTAGTAAATATATTCAGCAAGGATAGAAGTACAGTTTTTAGGTTTTTGTTGTGCCTTTCTGAAGCCCCAGACCGTTTATGTAGTCAACATTGCAAGATTTCAAAAACCAGTAGTTTTCTTACTACAAGTATAGTGTGGCCTCCCTTCCAGATTCATGACCGTCTTTTGCCCCTGCTAAGTTTTACCCTTCACTTAAGGACAAATCCTGTGGGATGTGTACAGTATTCTAATGATGGTTGCATTGGGCTGGGCTGGAGCAGGTGAGAAGTGACGTGACAATGCATTCATTCAATTTATTAATGTTTTGCCCCATGCCTCATTTTCTATAGCAATAGTTTTAATATATTTTATTTTCATAAATAAAAAAAAAACTGATGCAGAAATCAGCAAGTATTTGCTACATAAATGTTAGGAACTTTCAGAATGACTGAGCTTCTGTATTAAGGACAACATTCACCTTCTTGCTACAACCTTCTTGTAGAATCATTATAGCAATCTAACCTTGAAGCGACAAGACCATGAGTAATTGTATAAAAAAATCATGTCCAAAAGGAAAGAATATGAAGTTCTTATTAAACTCAAGAGATAATAAATGCAATGCTGTTGTTGGAATATGCAGAAACTGTCAAGAAAATGCTGGTCATCCTGTTGTCAACCCTAAAAGTAGAAAGCTCGCATACCCTTTTTAACTCTATAAATTCTGCAAATTTTCATTTGATTCTCCTCCTTTGCAAGTATTAGGCTTGACTGAGTATCTGTCATCTATTTGTCCCCCACTAAGCTCTTAACGTTGGAAACAGGAAGAATCGGAGCTGGGCACTGGCATAAAGCAACATAATAAATAATAATATCTAATACACTGTATAACTCGTCCTCTGTGTTTTCCTGGATAGTTCGTAAAGCTTTTCCTGAAAAACAAAAGGAACTGCTGGAAAAAGGTGAATGAAGCAAGGCTAGGCTGTGGAAGGATGAGAATAGAGCTAGGAGTCTATTCACCCAAGGAGCCTAATAAATGAAATAAAGTTTTAAATGTAGTTGGTTGTATTTTTCCCACGAGTAGTTTTAACTGGAATTCAGGAAAGCGTGTTTGCACTGTTTTCTCCAACGCTGTCAACTCATGCCGCATAGATACTCTCACAGAGTGCATGTTAAACATGCATGTTAAACATGTTATTTGTGCTTTTCTTCGCCTGGGTGAAACCTTGAAACTGTGTAACTTACTGTTAACTGCCTGATGCACAAATATCTGGCTAATGCATGCTTTGGGTGTCTTATTTCAATAATGAAGTATTCTGATATGCTTTGAAATGTAACATTTACTGATAATTTGTAGTTAGAATTGTGCCCTAGACTCATGATAAGAATAATTTAAAATACTTTGTTTTTTGGTTGAGCAGTGTCTTCACTGGTTGCTCTGGCATGGAGCTGATACAACACAAGTAACTGTCAGAGGCTGGACAGCAGCTCATCTTGCAGCTATCCGAGGTCAGGATGCTTGCGTGCAGGTAAGTGTAAGTATTCACTCTAAAATAAAATCAAGTAGGGCAGACCATAAGCTTGGATGAACTATCATGAGGTCGTTATGAAGATCAGCTGAGACAGCTCCTAATGGAGCTGTGAATATCTCCTCTTGCTTTCTTTAGAACTGGAACCGTGTCACTGTTGTTAACCAATGCACTCATTTACTCTGTCTGTGCAAACAGACAGAGTAAATTTTGTGTAATGACAATGCCTAGAAGTCACCCCACATTCCTCCTGCTGACTTCATCCTGCTAGTCAACATTTACTTTTTCAACCTGTGAACTGAACTTTTCCTTTGCATTTCTTTTAGGCTCTGTTAATAAATGGAGCAAACCTAGAAGCTCAAGATGATCGTGGGTGCACTCCGTCACACTTAGCTGCAGCCCATGGGCAGTCTTACACTTTGCAAACTATACTACGAAGTGGAGTGGTGAGGGAATTTTGCCCGCAGTTCCCTAATGCAAAGTCAAAGGCTTGTGTCTTTTTGTAGATAAAGCTTAGACTGAGATTACGACTGTAGATTCATCATTGTTGGTATACTGTTGGGGGATGAGGGAATTTATTTTTAACTTGAATTTCTTTTTTTTTTTAATTGTAAGACATGTTAGGAAAATGTTCCAAAAATCTAGGGAGAATCAATAATGTGAGAAAACAACATTCCACAGGGATATCACTGAATGAAAATTGGGCACTGTGGTTATTGTGATTTTTTGCAGTTGTACTAATCTTCCATAATAAAATAGACATAAACTTAAAAAAAATCCCAACCAAACCTAGGTGTATATTTAAGGAATAATGACAGATATAGTGATAGAAATATGCCCCAAAATGTACTCTTTATACCTGTATTATTTAAATAAAATCAAAAACCTATGAAAAATAATCTTGGAATGGGATCTATGCACGTGGCATGAACTTTGGAAAAAGTTCTTGTATTTGATTTAAATAATTGAACACAATGAACAGTTGATTCCTTTTCATAAAATATATCTTGTTTCTGAGTTTCATAAATGAATGAATTAACCTACTGTTTTCATTCTAGGATGCAAATGTTTCAGATAGGAATGACTGGAAGCCTGTTCATTTTGCTGCTTTTCATGGTCGCTTGGGGTGTTTGCAGCTGCTAGTTAGATGGGGAGCATGTATAGATGATGTGGATAACAATGGAAATCTTCCAGGTACATCAGGATAAATCACATGTTTTTTAGCCTTTGGATTATAATTGTTGTGTTATGTGATAATTTTAGCAAATGATAAGTAATGCATACCGGCAGCATTTACTAGTCGATTCCATACAATCAGCGTAGTTATTTCATTTTTATAATGATGGGTGTATTTAAAAAATCCAAAGTACTTATCTGTTGGAGCAGGCTGCCCTGTTCACCTCTTGCTGCTACTAGCAAGGACCAGAGCTCATGGGTACTAGAATAACTCACATCGGAGCAGGCTCAGTCTGGTTGAGAGCGCTGTGTAGGTGGGCAGCCTCTCCCATTCGTGTGACAGAGTGCACGTGCCAGTGGAGGTCATGGGAGGAGAAGGGTAGGCAGGGCAGGAAGCAGTTTCAGCTGCTATATGCTCCTTTTTAAATTTCTGCCAGGGTTTAATGGATAGGCAAGTGTGATCAAATTCTGGCTTGTTCTTGGGCAGGTTTTTGTATCCAACTGTTTAACTGATTTGGGAAAACCCTTCTTCTCATTTACCTGTGATCTCATCTTGATTTCTGAAATATTGACGTTTCCGTATTATCTGTGATCTGTATTCTTTTTATAATCATGTGCTCAATCACTTTATCTAGTGCAAAAAATGGGCAGGATTTTTTCCTTGCTCTTTATAGTTTTGCCACTGTTTCTCTGTCTACCCCTGCCATTGCCTCACAATCCTCTTTAAGTTGAATGCTGTTGCTTATACCGTGCCACCTAAAGTCTTCCACCCTTTGTTAAACACCACTTGTCTAGTAAATTGATACCTATGCCCTGTTTTGCAAACCTGTTTTTCGTCAAAGAATGTGAGTCTCTTACATCTCCCAGTAGGACATCTGGTATATTAGCTCAAGCAGTAAAGGATTATGATGTTAGGTACTCTCATGACAGTGAAGAAGATAGCTCTATTTGCATTTGGGAACACTTCCCTATTGGGGTCAGGGAAAAGTCTCTATCAGACTTTTTTATGGAGAGATGGGGAATACAACACAGTTCCAGTTCAATGCTCTGTATACCCTGGTCCGTAGGAAATTGTTTTTGTTATTTTTTTGACGTCTGCAGAAGCTGAAGCTCCAGCCTTTGTTCATTTTCATTTGACCGTATTATCATCCAAAGGAAAGAAACTGCTTTGGAATACTGCTAATGAAAGATTAATATAAGTGATGTGCTATATAGATCAAACTATTTTCCACAGTTTCTAAAACAGCGAAGTAGAATTATATCATCTCTACATAACTGAACTTCAAGATTAGTTGGCAAGTGCCATAATTTTACCTGAGAGTGTACTAAAAGAAACTTGCTGAGATTGCAGTGCCGTGCACCTAAAACTAAAAAAAAGTAAGACTTAAGACTGACTGGACCTTTTCCATTTGTGTATTGTGGTAGACACTTTAATTACCTCTAGCATGCTAATTTTTTCAAAGAACTGTGACTCATGCAGGCTGAGAACGGGCTGTGCTCATTAATGAGCTATTCAACATTTGGTTTGCTCTCTATGTTCTCTACATTTTTCACCCTCGCAGTCTTTTGTTTTCTCTCTATGTTTAGTTTTTGTTCCTATCCGTGCATCGTTTGTTGATCACTAATTAAGCCTATTCTAAAGACAATACTAAATTGATCGTGATGCAACACCTGAATTTTTCACAAACACTATTTTTTACTCACTATTGAGAAGAACAAATAGTTTTAGCCTGATTTTATAAATGATGAGGTGAAACACAGAAAGCTTGGGATACCAACTACTCACTGCCAATTTTGTGATGCCTAAAACACTAAGACAAAGTTTTTCAAAGTTCTTAGCACTGAGCAGCATCTTTTATGTTCACATTGCAGTACCCTTTCACTTTTGGCTCAGCTGCAAATGCTCAGCATGCCTCTTGATCATATGGCACAGTTACATGTTGGACACTAGCTACTAAGAGACACACAGATTAAAAAGCAGCTATATGAAGTTCCTTTATGTGGCTTCCACAGCATCCTGTTGAAACTCTGCTAAAAGACATGGACTGCATACAACTCTTTAATTTATTTTCCTCTTGCCATCTATACAGAAAATTTTGAGCTTTTCTGACTGCTGTTCTGCACAGACAGCTAGTTAAAAAGTTTAATCCCAGAAGGTTAAATGCTGTTGTTGAGATTTTTGGATATCTGAAAGTAGATTTCTAAGACTGAGTCAGTTTTGCACCAGCTGACTGTAGTAATCGACATTTAGCTTTAAGAAGATACCACTTCTTTTCAGTTTTCTTGGAGTAACTGTAACTCACTGAGTAAAATTAAAAGCAATAGGAAAAGCTACCCCAATTTCAACAAAGCTCACATTTTGCTGCTTTACGTGTTAGCGATTATCTCTACCTAAATATTTTTATCTTGCCATAAAACCAGTATCTGTAGCCTTTAAGAGCAATCACAGTGTGGGGAGCTGTGGCTGGTTTGCAACAGAGAGCTTGTATGTGCCAAAATTTAACTTAGGTGTCATTTCTTAGCGCTGCTTCTCTGGGGGCATTGTTTAGCTACTATAATGACAATGAGATTCTTAACTGGAGACAAAGCAATCCTTTTGCCTGTAGTACATCAGCCAAATTACACAGAGCATTTTCATAGAGTGACATTACATAATTAATAAGCAGTTTTGGCAACTTCTTCCCCTTAATGGGACTAGGGAATACTACGCATTACAAAATGACGAGTATGTGTTTTGTACCTCTTACTTTGTTATAGGCCCAGCACTTTACTGGTATTAAATAACTAAACCTCAGTTTAGCCTAAAACACAGGGGAGAAAACACTTGACCTCTACAGGGAAGCAGTCACTTCGGTAGTGAGGCAGAGCAGCTCCTGCGCGTAGCAACTGTCTACAACAATTTGGGAGATAAATGTGATAGATGTACTGTGTATAGCCTCTGTCATGGGAGTTACCTCCAAATACTTTGCTCAACAAAGTGAATGCCATTGTCCTAATTTTATAGGAGGGGTATCTGAGCTGCAGAGGTGTGATTCAACTTGTTTGTGGTGGCACGATCGAGGTGGGAATAAAGCAGAACCCCCCTAACTCCTTATCAAGTAGACCCCTTGCTGCTTTCTCTACAGTGAGACTCGACTTAGGACAGGGAAGTCAGAAGAACACAGCTGCTGAGGAGTCAGATTTGTGTTCATTGAAAAGATGAGACTCCAGCAGTGCACTCTGCTAGCTAGTGGTCAAAGGCCTCTTGGCTGTGTCATACTGTCTCCTGCATCAGCTCTGCCAGCGAATCTTCTTTAGAGACCCTCTCCTTGGCAATTTTCTTTTACCTTCTTTACCAAGGAGGAGGTTTTCTTTTGTCTCCTTCCCAAGAGCCAAACTCTTTTCTGGATCTGTCCTGAGCATCCCTTATCCAACTGAGGCTATTCCTACTTCTTGTGAAATGCTGAATGTGTCAAGCACTGACAGAGGAGCTAGATCTGATCAGTAGTGACAGCAGTGCTTTCCTGGTGGTCAGCGGTGCTCTATTCTAACGTAGTGTGTTTTACCTCATGCTATAGCTCATCTGGCAGCAATGGAAGGACACCTGCATTGCTTTAAGTTCTTGGTCAGTAAAATGACCAATGTCAGGTACGCACTGAAAGCCAGGAATGACCATGGAGAGACTCCAAGGGACTTAGCTGAACGGTTCTATAAAGACAATGTTCTGCAATATATTGATGATGTGGAAAAACAGGAGAAGCATCCAGAGACCCAGGAAGGTGAGTATGGATTAAGATACTTTAAAAATAGGCAGTGTAATGCTGCAAAACTACTTGGATTCTGGAAACTTGTATGAACAGAAATATAACCTTTACATAAGCAATGTAAGCAACAGCTGTCGCTTTCAATACTTATCACACTTAGTGATAGCTAGACTGGGATGACCCAGTGTGATTTTATAAAAATGTGTTAGATTTACTCCTAGCCAAAATAAAACTTGTCACTCTATTTTACACTGTGAATGCCAAGTTAATCTATGTTCTTCTTAGACTACACTAGGGATCCTGCAAAACTCTGTAATATTTTCACGAGTGCTCAGAGTTGCCTGCTCAGAATCCTTTGCTTGCGTTGAGTAGCAACTTACTCTAGAAACACCCCACTGCAATTAGAATTACTTGCTAAGCAGTAATGCTATTGCAGTCAGAACAGCTGAAAGAGTCAAGGGTGGCAAGGTTTGTAAGGAGAACATTCAACAGAGCAAGGTATGAGAATTGCCCCTTTCACCTCTTGACTTTTTTCAGGCACTTACTTTTCTTATCTGTTATTCTTTTATCATTATATCTATGCATATATATGTCAGTGCCCCCTCTCTCTCTGAAAATAATTAGAAAAATCAAATTGTCTATGTGGCTAGTGTTTTAAACAAGGAGCAAAGTGGTTTATATATTTGGTAAGACTATAGAATTCCAAACAGGCGGATGACTCCAGTTACCAGCAATAGTAGAACAAGCAACCTTAAAAACAAAGGCGTATTTGTTATTCCAGATTTATGAAATTAATCTCTTAACTGTGTAAGATGCCTGTAGCCATAACCAAGACATGTTTAGTCAAGACTGAAGAACAGTGCTACTTCTGCAGCTGCATTTTAACTGATGAAGGATGCGTTAGCCTTGCTAACTACAGCTCTGAAATTTCTGTGCGTAAGTTAATATATACTGAGAGAGGCAAGATGTGAAAGACAAATATGAGCATGCTTATTGGAATTGTGGGCATCTGCTTGGAAACATGTACATTTCATTTTTAGGTTTAGCTTTCCCAGCCCATGGTGCTGCTTTCAGAGGGGACCTAATAACACTTAGAAGATTAGTGAAAAGTGGAATAATCAATATGAATGAGCGGGATGATACAGGATCCACTCTCATGCACAAAGGTCAGTAATTACGATCTGTGTTTCAGCTCGTTACTGTTTGTTGCTGACTTGTTTGCTTACTTTTCGAGTGGCTGCTTATCAGATACATTTCATGAAAAGCAGCATCTCATTTCCTGAGGGCTTCAAAGGGCAACACATACTTTGTGATGCATGTGTGCGTAGGTGTCATTTACTTTAAAAACAAACTAAATGAGTTGAAGTCAAGGAAGAAAAGTTTATATTAAAAAGAAAATAATATCTAAACTGAAAACTAAATTTTTTTTTTTTTTATCAGATGAGATGTGACTTGTAGAAACATTGACTGTCTAGGTATGATGGTGTGTATTGAGGCCTAGGCCTTTATGTACTGAATGTCTTGGTACTATGGAGATGTGTTCTAAAAACCACAGCAAAATCATTTGATAGTATGCTGTGGAGGAAGGTAAGCACCTGGTATCTAACACATTGATTTGCAGTGAAGTGCTAGCATTAGAAAAAAATGATCCTCCTGTGTTTTGAGGTTTCTTTTGTAATGTCTGAAAGAAGAAATGGAAGATGAAAGAAAGAGGGAGATATTCTTGTAATATGTCTTTAACACAGTTTCTCTCCAGCCTCCCCACACCTCTTTTTGACTAGGTATAAATAGTAGAATTTTTCAAAACATAATTAAAGTTCTCATTACAAGAATTGCTAGGTAGGGATTTTAAAAGTGTTTCCTGCATTCTTTCTCACCTTCTTTTCTTAGGTGTTCTTACCCTATAATTGTTTCATCCCCAATCTTTACATACAATATAATGTTATGGGGAAATATTGTAATCCATTATTGTTGTACTTCCTTGTCTCAGTAAGAAAGCAGATATGACACACATCCAAAGGGGATGCTGTCAGAGACAAATTTATTCTTCCTTGAGAAAAAAGGCTTGCAGGTATCAGCCAGCATGCCAAGTACCATCCTCCCGTATGTGAAACATAATTCCTGGGACCATGTTGTAGAGGGAGTAGCCATGCCAGATCGTATGATCAGGGAAAGCTGTTGTGTTAGGCTGTAGCTGATCAGTCTTACCTCGAGTGTGTGGCCCAAGAAACAATGTACCGGCACAAAGCTCTGGCTTTTCTTCTGCTCCATGAGGCAGCAATCCATGTCACAGATCTGACAATCAATCAGCTGTCTGGTGTGTGGGAGCCCAGAGCTGGGAGCAGGTGACGGTGCTGTGCTGCAAATATACGACACACAGGCCTTATTGCAAGAGATTGTGAGGCAGCAGTTATTTGTGTGTCTCACACTCAGTGCACTAGCCTGGGCAAGTTTAGTTTGACTTGTGCCTGGGAAGAGTTGCTGATAAATTTCTGGAGCTACAAGGAGGCACAAAGCTACATTGCATGATCTTCAACGCCGCATGTGCCTGTATGACTTGATCATTGGGCTCCTCTTGAAGTAGTATCTCCCCCTTAGGGTGTTAGTGAACCCAAACGCTGGGATGTCAAACCATGCCAAGACAGGGACGTCTTGGGTTAGAAACACATCAACCATATACATCTGACTTGTGTGCACATTTTTTTCCGTCAGCCGCTGGACAAGGGCATATCCATTGCTTACAGTGGTTGATTGAGATGGGAGCTGACTGTGACATTACGAATGAAGCTGGAGAGACTCCAAAAGATGTAGCCAAGAGGTAGCAGTGCCTATCCTGTAACTATATCATTTATTTGCTTACTAGTTATATATCAATATCATTAGGTCAGCTTTGTTGAAATTACTCTTGATTTTCATTGATGGAGCAAGAACGGATTAGGCCTGTAAATTCCAGCTCTGAATGGAATTATGATAAACAAAGCTGTACTGTAGCTGTAAAAGGTTTTAATTTTAACTTAATTTAATTTTAACTTTTTTGAGTAAGGTCAGACGTAAAAGATGAAAATGAATTGTTTTGGAAAAGGAAAATTAGGAGCCAATATGCTCCATTCATATGTAAAGTACAAATATACATAGTATATGTACATAGTATTTGTATATAAAGTACATATACAAAGTAAGTGAGAACTGGATAAGGCCTTCTGTTTTTCCTATTTATTAATAAAAATAATGCAATTGCTCATGAGATTCAATTAAAAATCCCTGTAAAGGAAAAAATATCTTTGTTGTGGAAGTCATTGTCCTAAGATTTTGCTGAGGCTGAAATCACGATCAAAATACTACAAAAAGCAGTTTAGCTGCTCCTAGTTTGTGCACCAGTGCTTCCTTTAATCCTGAAACCCCATCTGGTTGAGATAAATGGGAACATGAAGTGTTTCAGAGACTTTCTATCCCATTATGGAGCTTGGATACATTTTTCCATGTGACAGGAATATTTCAGTGTAGATTAACTGTTCTCTGTGCAGATTTGCCCAGCTGGCAGCTGTGGAACTTCTGACACAAAGAAGTGGAGACAGTAACTCTGATGACGAAGAGCTAGATGCAAGCAACATGAAGTTTTTTGAAAGGCATGGTGTGGAAGGGAGTACAGATAGCAAGGAAGATTTAACCCTGGATAAAGCAGAGAAAAGGAATGCACGCAGTAAGCATTGTCTTTCATCACCCTTTATTTGGAAAAAGGTAGTCTCAAGATATTACATTCCTAGTTGCAGTTTCTGCCAACTGCTGTAGACGACTTTGTCATAAGACAAGTTAGTTGACAGGATCTCTGTACCACAGAGCATTCAAACATGTTGTGGAAAATTAGAAAGCATAGCATAGGATGATCAGAACATAATTGTTAAACTTCTAATCTGCATTGATGGAGCCCCATTAGATTGCATGTTTTGTGTTTGAGAGCTGTCTGCTGCGTGGGTGTCAGGTGTAGCTCTGTATCTGCTGAGCAGTGTGATTGCTATTGTCTGTTTGTGAGGCTGTTTTCCAGACTATTAGATTCCAGCATGGATGTCTTCACTCTGTGGCACGTTACCTACCTGGAGAACTCTGTCTTGCAGTAAGGGCCTATCACAAGATTCAGGAACTTCGGCAACTTCTAGAAATTGCCTACAGCAACTACAGACACCTGGGAGGAATAACTGAGGAGGAAAGGAAGATGAAAAAAGAAGAAAGGAAAATTGAGAAGTAAGGTTAACTTGTCCTGGTAATATTTAATTCTGTAATGCTTAACCAAGGCTAACTTATGCTCAGACTGCTTTGGTCATTCCCTCTTTTTCACTTAGCAACTTTAGTCAGGCCAAAAAGAAAAGGACTTCAGCCATTTGTCTGGCCATTTCTAGACTTCCACTACCAGGATCAGCCCCATAACACAGGAGTGGCTGATAGCCCAGAGGGCTGGGCTGCCATTCCAGCAGCCCAGCTGGTGGACAACAAGTTAAACATGAGCCAGCAGTGTGCCCTTGTGGCCAAGAAGGCCAATGGTCTCCTGGGGTGCGTGAGGCAGAGTGTTGCCAGCAGGTCGAGGGAGGTGATCCTCTTCCTCCTCTACTCAGCCCCGGTGAGGCCACATCTGGAGTCCTGGGTCCAATTCTGGGCTCCCCAGTACAAGAGAGACATAGCGCTCCTGGAGAGAGTCCAGCAGAGGGCTACCAGGTTGATGAGGGGACTGGAGCATCTCTCCTCTGAAGAAAGGCTGAGAGAGCTGGGCCTGTTGAGCCTGGAGAAGACTGCGAGGGGATCTCATCAATGCCTACAAGTATCTGAAGGGCGGGTGTCAGGAGGATGGGGTCAAACTCTTCTCAGTGGCACCCAGCGACAGGACGAGAGGCAACGGGCACAAACTGAACCACAGAAAGTTCTGTCTGAACATGAGGAAAGACTTCTTTCCTGTGAGAGTGACAGAGCACTGGACCAGGTTGCCCAGAGAGGTTGTGGAGTCTCCTTTGCTGGAGATATTCTGGACACAATCCTGGGCAATGTGCTCTAGGTGACCCTGCTTCAGCAGGGGAGTTGGACTAGATGATCTCCAGAGGTCCCTTCTGACCTTGGCCATTCTGTGTGATTCTGTGCACTATGCTTGATGGGTCCACACTTTTTGTGCTTATGTAGGATTATCTGCTCTACCTTCAGGTTTTCCTACTGCATATGTGCAGTAGATTTGATACATCCTGGCTACTTTCATTGCATTGTGAATGCAGAATACATGCACGCACAGTACGAAATCTGAAAAAAAAAGCCTTAGTCTTAGCAAGACTTGGATGGCAGTGCGCATAAAGGGGAAATTATTCAATGACCTACCACATTTCTGTGTCAAGGGCAATGTATTTCTGTGCTCAAGAATGTATTAGAGCATATCCATACTACAAAAAAAAAAAAAAACCTCAGCAAACCTGCCCTTGTATGTGGAGCACTTTTCATAATATCTGTCTAATTCTCAGGACCTCTGTTAAATGAAAGGATTCTGTTAGATGGGTCAGGTGACCAGATGGGCAGGCTATCTAAGTTTCAGAGAAATGCCCTCCTGTCGGATACTTAAATGATATAGGGCTGTCTTTTGGATGATTCTTTCTCCACCGCTACTTCTTAAAGATTTGGCTACACACTGCCAGTCTCTATAGATAATTATATCCATTTTGCATTTGGGCATCCCCAAACCAATGCCGTTATTTGGACATGCATGGAGACTGTGCATTACAAAGGCTTGTGTGCTGTAAGGAAGACAGCAGAGTTAGGAATCTGTGTAGGTCTGGAGCAGGTTATAGGAGTCACAAGACTGAACAGATAGTTTGTTTTATAACATTATATGAGCTAAGGCATTGAGGTCAGGATTTATTTTGGCTCCAGAGCATGCTTCGACTCCAGCCTAGGCTAGAGGCCCGTCTTCCTTACCTTTAGATGTTGGCAGTGTGGAAACCTGCATCTGAGTTAGTCACCCCAAGTTCCTTTTTAGAGTCCTCAGAGAAATGTAGGCACTTTCAGAATGTAATCAGAAATATACTTTAGGATGAGATTAATCATTTCTAGCAGCGTCTCTTCTCTTTGTAAGGGAGTAGGGCAACCAGCTCAGATGGTGATGGCTATGTTGGAAGTTGAGAGTGACCTGTTTGCAGTGATGGAAAAGTCACTGCTGTCTAATGGCAGAAATCAGAGGTCATTCTGGATATAGCAGCTACTCAAAAGTTAGACATGCCTCTTAGGAAACGCTGCTGAGGCTCTTAAAGTGATTTTGTTTCCTGTGGCATGTGGGACTAAACCAGAAAGTACAATAGTGAGGGTTTCTGAAGGTTCTGTCTCATCTACCCATGCCAAAAAGCATCCCTAGTTCCACACTGGCATTTTGAAACTGGAATACTGCTTTTCAGGGTACCTACGGAGACCTGTGGATAAACCCTAATATATTTTTATCATATGCCAGAAAACCTTCATTATTAATAGATACTTAATGACAATAGCTCTTACTAGATGCAAAGCAGGAGTTGTCGCTTAGGAACGTTAGCAGCTTTTGAAGATTTCTGCTTTAGTGCAGGTTTTCTGGCTGCAAGAGACCTGGTGGGAACCGTTGCCCAGTGCTTTGACCAGGCTGTCTTGCAGGGAAAAATGCCCACCTTATGCGTGCCACGTAAGTTTGGAGATGTGTCTTATTAATCTCAAATGTGCGTGAGTCAGCCTGCCCCCAAGCACTGATTTCCCTGCATAAGCACAGTCCATTCTCACAATGTCAGTAAGGCTGATGCAACCTGGTAGCTTTGGGCTGTGAGAGTCAGGCATATTCAGTCCAGGAAATGTGGTACCTCTGGCTGAGGCACCCTCTAGCTTTTCTGCTAAGCTGTTTGAATCCGTAGGACAGACATCTCTGTTTTCCTTTTACCAGGCTCCCAAATTTGTAGCCATGCTAATTCATCTTGGTACAGAGGAGAGCCAGCTCAACTCCAGATGACTCAGTTTCTGAGGTCATTTGTTTACTGTAATAAGAATATATCTGAATTATGTCTCTGCCGATTAGTTCCAGGAATCTCAGTTCATTTAGTAGTCACTGTGAGTGTGACTGATGATAACCTGTGCAACCATATGTCAGACAGTGCTGCAGCTTCCATGCAGAAAATGTTATGCAAGCTATCATTTGAGCATTCCTCCTCTGTGGTTAAGCCCATCACTTCAGGATTTAGGAAGGATGTAGACAAACCAATCTTAAGTGAAAAAGCTGCCCCTGGCTCCTCCAGAATCCCAGTTTTATGATATTTCTCTGTTTCATGCTAAGCTTTTGGCTTCTTAGGCACTTCTCCCTCTTCTGCAGCTGGGGTAGAACCTGGGTCACAGACTACTGAAGACTCCAGTAGCTCGCTCAGTGTGTGGGAAGATGTCTCCATCTCGTGGTTCAATGTGCTGAGTACTGCTCACAGCTAAGAAGGAAAAAACAGCTGATGCTGAGGCTCTTACAAAGGGTATTTGGCCAGGAGCACACTGTAGCTGAATAAAGGTCACTGTACACATACATTTGGCTTGGAGCGAAGCAAGGAGCACCTCCATCCAGTTGAAGGACTGAACAGGATTCCCATGCTGTCATCCCTGGGATGCTTTGATAGAGGGTTCAGTGCTCCCTTGAATTTCTGTTGTCATTTTGCACTTAGTGATGGAGAGACCATTTCTCTCCTGTGGTCTTCTCACAGAGGCCTGTTAAATAGTCAGCCTGAATAAAAAAGGAAGATAGGCAGTGGAGGTGGGAAGAGGCCTTTCCTCCCCACCTGTGTGCTGGCATTTGATGCGAGTACTGCACTGTTTTCTGCTGTGACTGATCTGTTCCTTAGCAGAGGCACAGAATTGCATGGAGTAGCCAGGACAGGGTTGGGTGCGCTTCATGAGGCTTTGCTTGTCTGCTTTGCTTTTGGCAGGGCTGTGAAGGAGCTTGAGGCCCAGCTAGAATATGAGCGAGTCAGGCGGGAGAAGCTGGAGAGCCAGCTGGATGACTACCGTGCTGAGATAGGCCACCTCAGAAAGAGCCTGGAGAAAACTCACATGCCCGCTGCTGTCCCGCCGGTGAGTGCTACAAAAAGTTGGCTTGCTAGCTAGTGCATGGGACAGAGCCTAGCTGCCATTGCTTGTGCGTTTTGGCTACACTGAGATTGCTGGGCACGGTGCTAGGAGGTATAATTGGAGTAGATGTGTTAGCAGCCTTTAGCCTGGGACAGCTTGGGAAGCGAGGAGCAGCCTTCGTTGCATCCTGACAGTGCCTCTGCTATGAAAGGATATCACTTTCTCTCCGTTTCCTGACAGAAATGTGTCCATCTTATTTATGTTTGTATTAACAAAAGGGAGTGGACTGAGTGCTGAGTACCGTGCTGCATCTGCAGTGACTAGCTGTTCCCCTTGGCTGGTACCTGAGTCCCGCTGTACTGGGTGCTTCAGGAAAAATGTCAACCCCTCGTCCCCCAGACTGGCATGGTCTGTAGCATTTGCAGCAGTGTTGCAGAGTATTTCCTTTGCTTCAGAACTCTCCTTCAACATTGGTTTATTTTCTTCCTTTTCACACCAGAATGAAGTGAATTGGTGGAGCACTGTAATATAGTACTATATTGCTGTGTGTAGTGGCTGATTTCAGTGGACTGATTTTGGATGCCATCTGCTGTTGTCTTAATTATCAAGCCCAGTGATGGCAAACAAGATGCAGCTCTAAACTATACATTGGCTTAGCAGGAGAAGACAGAAAAATTACAACTTTTTTTATTTTTAATACCAAAAGTGATGATAATTTAAAAGTTCACATGCTGCCTTTGAGGATAGGAGGCCTGCCTTCAGATCATGCCCTGCCACATAACTTCCACAAAATGATGTGACAGTCAACACCTCATTTTTCAGCTCTGCCATCCAGTCAATCCACAGCCTTGAGTGAGGCACCTAAGTTCCTCGTCCCGTGGCTGGTGGGAGTTGGTGTGCAGTTAGTTACACTGCTGTTTCTTTCAAAGATACAGCCAGTGTAAAAGACTCATGGCCCTGTCTTAGGCTCAGCCTAAGATAGGCTGTTCATTGCTGCTCTTAGAGCTTCACTTAACTGCCCTCACCATTGTGCTGATTGATAGAACTGTTTGTAGGGCCCTGTTTTAACTGATATAAAAGTCAGGTGAGGACACTAGCCACTGACAGTGTGGGAGACTTGGATTTAAATTCTTCCTTTGCCTAGAAGGGCCCAGAAGCCACATCCCAGGGATGTCGTAACCAGCATGATGCCAGCTTTCCTGAGACAAAGCCATGTTCATTCATGACTGTCAGCCATGCGCTGTGATTGCTATAATTAATTATTCATTGGGCCAGAGGTAGAGAATGAGAGAAAACAACTTTATAGGCTTATTAAAAGGGAAGTCATGCAGGAAGGTGGAAATCTGGCCTGAGCTTCACATGAAACAATTGTGTATTCCTTGGAGCAGAAATAGGGTTGCTGGATAAAAGGAGTAACATTACCACCTTCTTCAGCCAGGTTGGGATGAGGTTCAAGCGCTTGGAGAGCTTCCCCACTAGATAATGGTCCCTTCTGTTTTCCAAGCGTGATGGGGAAGAATGCTTGGTGGATGTTCGGAGTGGGAAGTGAGCATTTAAAAAACCCTATTTTGTTGCCGCTTAAGCTACACATGGATTTGGCTATTGAAATGGCCAGGGCATTTCAGGCCCCTTGAGAGCAGAGGTGATCCCACCGCTAGGCAGCTGGGAGCAGGAGCTGTGCTGTGGACTGTGTTGTGCTGCAGGTCCTTGGAAAAAAGGAATTTCTGTCACAAGCATTTTAGTCCTTCTGCTGCCATCTTCTGGTCACAGGGTAACATGACATGGCTGCATGTGCACCGCACCTAGACGCCATTCAATAGCTGCAACTTAAAGCAGCAAGGCCTGCACGGTCCCTCCATCACACCGTAGTGCAGGGTGCTGGATTCATAGCAGCAACCAAAGTCTTTGTCCGTGCCCCCTAGCTCTTTCCAGCAGCAGCTCCAACATCCCTAGTTTGCACTTTTGCCTTTCTCTTCACTTGAGTTGTTACACATGGTCTGTGGGGCCTCTTGGCTGTACCAGGTCCCTCAGCTGGGGATGAATGGTACTTTTGCAGATAGCATTTTTCCACCATGTCCTACTTATCATCTGCTAAGGTTCAAATGGATTTAAAAGATCCTGA